CGGCAGATGCGAAGATGCACAGGCAGCGCCGAAGGTCCACCACTCGAACAAGTCGAGTGGATCGGTACATAGGTGTACGCTTAGCGAACGACATCCAAGGAAGAATAAGCCCGTTACCCACACAGGGCAACGACATGATCCTATATCGGCTGGAGATTTGATCGTAGAGGAACTAGCTGTGGTAGCGCAATCACAGCTAGAAGACGTACATGGAATAAGTCTACACGTACTTACGGAAGAAGCTCCTCAAGCAGTTATTGGCGAGGTAACAAGACCTCATCAGCCTGAGGGAATAAGTTCCCAGAAGCCTGTGTAAAACGGTTTCCAGGAAGAAAACATGACATTGAACCTGTTGGTTAATGAAGGGTCAAGTGTAGTTGCTTACGTACTTGATCCGATCGCGCCTTCGAAGCTGGCTTTGGAGAACACACAACTACCAACGCTAGAACCGAAACGGTTCTTGCGAGATCTGCGTAGTGGAGAGGTCAAGCAGATCTGTTTACTTGTCACAGAGTACGAGTACGTGACCGACCTTCGGTCGGCAGTTGGATTTAAAGACAAAGGCAGTTGAGCACTAGATGATAAAATGCAAAGTGAACATATTCAGGTCCTTAGTTCGTAAACTCTCTTGCTACTCTAAGCCTACTAGATTCTTCAACTACACATTCGTAACCGCTATGTCCCGCATTACTAATCGTACAGTTGCGTATTAGTAGTCACACATCGCGCATTAGTAATCGTACAGTCGTGCATTAGTAATCGCCCCTTCGCGCATTAGTAATCATTTAAATGTACCGTTCGCTTCTCATTCTCTGGATAAGGAGCTCCTTCGAAAACAGCAAGTGCTGAGAACGAACGGGTTACCAGAAGCATCGATGGAAGAAAGTGTTCTCGATGAGAAGACTCAAATTGAGCGATACACGTCTCAATCTTGGGAGTCTCTTCAGGAAAAGAAACTTTACACGAGGATTCAATCAAATTCAAGGACGTATTCCCTGAATCCGTGATATGCGAGTTGCCTAAAGATAAAGGCACTCGACACGGGATCGAGCTCAAACCAGGCTCGAAGTACTGTGTCACGAAGAATTGGTCACTGCACCGTGAAAAATTACTTGCGATTGGCAAGTTCTTTGCCGATCGCTTAGCGGCTGGTCACTTGAGGGAATTAACTTCTCCACACAGCTCTCCGACCTTTTGTGTGCGAAAGACCACAGAGGGATGGCGGATAGTGCACGCGTTTTACAAGGTGATCGCTGCAACGGAACCGGCTCAGACGCTGATACCGAGGAAGGACGTAATCATATATGTTATGTCAAAACGTATCATCTTCTTGTCCATGGATCGGATGGATGGGTTCAATCAGATCCTCATACGTGAACGGGACATACCGTGCACGGCTGTGATCAACCCCATCGTTATGCTCTGAGAGTAGCCAGTGATGCCGCAAGGGCTGATTATTACCCCTACCACTTTCAACAGATGTGTTACAGATCTGTTGAGACTAATGCTAGACTTCGGACCGAGTTACTTCGACTAGATGTTCGTCCATAGCTGGGCTATGTATGGAAAGACGGACGTATAGGTTCATACTAACACGCATTTGTCAGGTTCTTACACTTTTGCGCAAGCATAAACTCTAGGCCAACCTCAAGGAGTATATATTCGCTGCTAGAGAAATACTACTTCTTGGGTGCATCGTGGGTAAACACGACGTACGCACCGATCCGAAAAATATGAAGGCGATTGCCGACTGGTATGTGCCAGTCGACGTCAATGGACTTAGAAAGTATCTTGGTCCAGCGGCGTACTTACACAAGTACTCGCGCAACTACGCCGAGATGACCGTTTACCTCTCCCGTTTTTTGAAAAAGAATAAAAGTAGTCGTGAGATGCTGATTGTCAGCTTTCATTTGAAAGTATCGAGCAGATCTTGATTCAATCGCCCACATTGGCGATTGTAGATCAGTACAGACTATTCCATGTAGTCTGTGACGCCAGCGATATTGCTATCGGCTGCGCGCTAATGTAGTACGATGTCGGAGGTGCAGAGCGCGTAGTCTGATACCAGTCACGTTAGCTGCAAGAAAAATTTGTAGCTATGTTTGGTGGTCACGACTACAGTCATCAACTTTTTGTGCTTCATAACAAAAAACACGTATATCCTCTTTACGTTTATGCTTTTGGCGTGGTAACTGGACAATCCAAAGTGATTAGCGATGGTTGGCAATTTTAATTTCGCCAGGGTTTAGTGGATTCTGTCAGGCGCAAAGCAGAACTCATTTTGGGGATCTGAATTTGCCGACATCCAAAACCCGGATGCCACAGTCTTAGTGTCAAGCTTCCGGGAATGTGCAGCATAAAGGTGTCTAACAGGATGTTAAGGTCGCACTGACTTTCATTCAACCACTGCAGCACTATCCGGAGCACAATCTTACACCAGGGACTAGTTCGGGAACTTTGACGGCAGTTTTTTACATAGTATACTTTTAAACCGAATCCGTCGCGCGTCTTAAACTGACGATGATAAGTAGCACATGAGCTAACTCACATAGCGCCGAGCGGTAGTGATATATCAATCCCGGTAAGCAGTCACCAAGGCTTCTAAACAAGCCAGTCGTGCGAAAATATACAGGCGTGATCGGTCGATCAACTTCGTTCCATCGTCTTTGAATGTAAAAATTGGCGATTTGCGCTAAGTAAACCAGTCGCGGTGACAATTAAGATTCGACAGGTGGGCGTTTGCGATGTTCCAAAAAGGATAAAAAAACAGTTAAGCCAATAGAAGTGATGTAACATGTAGAATGAATTCAGTTTATTCACCAGACCAAACTCAATCGGCGAGATGACTACAATGTAAATTGGTCAGAGATATAAGTAGAACAAGCACGGTACCCATGTATCCTTTTAGCCCGTAACCATCGAATGGGGAGCAGGCCTTGCAAGTGATTGGAGAGAGGAGTTAATTCATCGTGGCGTGACCTACGCTTGATACACTAATAGTTCCATCGGAGTCGTCGGACGCCTCGTGTGACTTGTCTGCATGAAGTGTTATTGTGATCGGCATTAATTCGGAGGCGATCGGCAAAGTGCGAGCATTAGGTAAAGAAGATATTGGACAAATTACGAGAGTGGGGCCTAGAGGGTTTATTGCGGTGGGCTTAAAAGCTAAGTGACCGGTAGATCACGCAGTCGAGGCAGACGATCGCCAGAGAATAATCAAAAATCAGATAGTCGAGTAGAACTCACAGTAGTTAGCATGCTTATACATTGAGTTAAAAAACAATTATAATTATAATTAAAATTGTAGCTCCTGAACGACAATTTTGACAATTTCGTAGTAAAATTATGCCATTCCTAAAAAATTTTTGACTTGATGTTATGATTTTACATGTTGCGTGCGTATCAAAAAGAAAATTGTGTAGTCAATAATTTAAAGACAACAGGTCGGGTTCATATAGACAAAATAATCTTTTTATAAATTAAAGAGCTGAAATTCAGAATACAGAAATATTGTGTGGATTTTTTTTTTATTGCATAATAAATTTATTTTAATGTCAATCGGATTTTAGGAAGATAGAATAAAAAAAAATCTCATTTTTATGAATCTAAAGTTAATCGAATTTAAGGTATATAAATGAACTTTTCATGCATCTGTTTGTACCATAACAGCCTGAAGCTTAAACACAACAATCGCTGATGAGGTATTCAAATGGGAAATTAGTACATTAGGAAAGAGCTTGTGATCAAAAAAATTGCAGCAAGCACGATTTCATCGACAGATCGAGCGGAATCTTTGCTTTCCATTACGGGAGAGGCAGAAACAGCACTTATTTGCTTCTACTTCTGCGACCGCCTGGTCATCACCGACGAAGGAGTGTTAGCAAATTATACCGGGGCGATGCTGGAGTAGTGGGGGTCGGAGGTTCGTAATCGTCAATACGAGGACGCAATGTCTGCGGGATTACGAAGTAAGCAAAAGCTGAGCCTCGTTAAGTAGCGTGATCGGGAGGATATGCGACTATGAATGGAGCCCAGGAGGCGAACTAGCATGAGAAGCTACGCGCAAACGCTTATTTGAGGTAAGTATGAGGTTAAATAATGATTGCTCCCTCTGCAGCTTGTCATTCGCGAGTCCCACCGACGGAGGCAACCCGATGAAAAATTTATATAGATAAGCTGGCTGAGCGTCAATTCATGGAGGAGAAGATCTGGTCCGCCCTTAAAAGGGCTAGTTCTTTAATTTGAATGGTGTGGGAATTGCGCAAACGACTGAGGTAATGGTATCTGTAACGGGGTAGTTCGTTACATGTTATTGGCACCACATGGAGTCAATAAGGATATTATCTATCATGACAATATCCTGCCAATATCATCCAAGATAAATAACACCGAAGGAATATTATCCCCTTTCAGGATGACATTCATGTGCTGCTCGAAGATTGGTTGATATAAGACATACCAACCAAAGATTACCACTAATTGCTGCTAGACGCGCGCAATGAGTGGTGAGCAGGTTGTCGTCATTCGACGATGTGGTTTGATTTAGTTTGATAAAGAATGAAGTTATATTGACAGCTTGACTATGTTATATACAGTTCTCCTTTTACCCTTACTCAACATTTGTTGAGTAGATTAGCTTCCTCTGCACGTACTAGTGTAGGTGAAGTTTCGTGGCACCTAGACAAAGGGTGCCCCGTTACACCTGGTAACACTTTGTAGTCCGTCCAACGACTACTTTGTGTCCGTCCAACATGAACGTGTTGGACGTAGAAGACGACAGCTTTCACGTCACACGTGAAGGCTACTCCCATCTGAGTGACTCAGAATGGGAGGTAGTCGGCCGCGTGAGTGCGCTCATGGGCGAACCCGCCATCAGTGGTATGTTGGAGTCTCTAAGCAGAGACCAGCAACATGCTGCTATCAACAAGTTCCTACAAGGGTAACTTGCCGTCGAACGACAGAAGATAGCCTTGCTACAGCAGCAAGGCTCTCACCAGTCGATGGGCGGGCTGACGCACATGCGTCGATCCGAAGCCTTAAAGATTGATGTCTCAAGGTACAATGGAACCGATGAAGATTCCCTTTTGAGATGGTTCGTCAAGTTAGACGATGCCATCTGGGACCGTCACATCTTGGGTGACGAGATGCAAGTCACCTCCGCCCTGTCAAATTTGACGGGACGAGCAAAGACTTGGAACTTAGGGCTCAAGCTTCATGACCCAAACGTGTTTGAGTCGTCGGATATCTTGAAGTCTCGACTTAAAGAGACGTTTGAGCCGCCGAGAGCCGAGTTCAGAGCACGCTCTGCACTCTTGAGGCTAAAGCGAGGTAAGCGTGACGTGCACGCTTATGCACAGCACCTACGCTACCTTGCGAGTAGCGTTACGGAAAACCCTGTTGATGAGCAAACGATCATCATCGTGTTCATCTACGGCCTTGTAGATGGGCCGGTGAAGACCTACGTGTTCCGAGAGGACTTCCATGCGCTGTAAAGGGCGATAGCGTATGCGGAACAAGAAGACTTCAGCCTGAGACAGTCTCAGACTAACTCGTCAAACTATCGATCGACGAGACGACAGGAAACAGGAGGTCCCGAACCAATGGACCTCTGTTACATCGAGAACGAGAACTCTCGCTCTCTGAGTCACAAGCGAACGGCAAGATGCCATCTCTGTCAGAAGATTGGACACTACGCTCGTGAGTGTAGTGTCCCAAGCACCGCAACACGTCCAAAGACAAAACGTAATGATCGCCGTTTGCCAAGGAAAGGTGCAAAGCGTGGACCGATCATGTCGCTAAGCCGCGACAGCAAGTCGGACCGTCAAAAAACGGTCAGGGTCAGTAGGGGCGGAGCACCCTGCTGATCCAGCAACGTCAAGAGAGGTTGCAGGACTCTTGACGAAGATTGCTCTTAATACGCAGTCTCTGTGCGTTACTGCCCCTAGTGATGAGGTGTACCTCATGAGGTGTACCTCATCACTTTGAAGATCGAAGTGACAAGTGGAATGTCACTTCGCGCCCTAGTTGACTGTGGTGCGTCGAACAGTTTTATTCGACGCTAGTCGCTAGAGGATAGTAGGTTTAACTATGTTGAGCGAGAGTTCCCTCCAACGAGGATGACAGTGTGCCTTGCTACAGGCGCATCCGTAACAGTGAACAAACGTGTAGTGCGAATCCACTACACGCTAGAAGGAAAGCAGTACGATGATGAATTCATCGTACTTGATTTGGATGACAAATTTGATGTCATCCTTGGTCTGCCATGGCTTAGAAAGTACCAGCCATGAGTTAGCTGGCTGCATCGCCGTGAAGATGCCTGCCGTTTGTTCATCGGATGGCCATCTGATGAACGTCTTGGAGCGTCTGCAAGCGTGTGGATGTACTACGAGTGAGTGCGACGGCCTCACTTGTGGTACGGTCGTTAGTACGATTGCACAAGATCACAGTGTAGCAGGCCAATACACTGTGAAACCATCTTCCGGCACCTGTGTAGAGACACAGGCTGCGCCGAAGGTTCACCACTCGAAGAGATCGAGTGGACTGGAACACGGATGCACTACAAGAAGGGTGCATCCGAGAGGAGAGACTAGTGTCGTTCAGGATGAACTTCACGTTGAAGCGAGATCGACTACCAGAGAGTCGATCGTAGAGCAAGCCCGATCGACTGAAAGAGAGTCGATCGAAGAGGACGTGACTGTGGTAGCACACCCACAGTTAGTACGCGTAATGGAAGAAAGTTCCAGCGTTCCTGAGAGTGATAACTCCCGAGAGAGTGATGTTGAGGGTGTGGATCCCCAACCACCTGCGGATGTGTTTTCCCCGGAAATCACCGAGTCAGTTAATGTCTTGGTGAATGACGGATCAAGTGTAGGCGCTTATACACTTGATCTGGTGACGAACCTGAAGTCAGCTTCGGAGGTAGTCAAGTTGTCAACGCACGAACCTAAAAGGTTCTTGCGAGATCTGCGTAGTGACAAGATCAAGCAGATCTGCGCACTCGTCACAGAGGACGAGTACGTCGCCGATATTCGGTCGGCACAAGTGTTTTGCTGGGAACGAACGGGTTCTCAGTAGCTCACCGATGGACGAGAGTGTCCTCGATGAGAAGACCCGGATTGAGCGATACACGTCTCAGTTTTGGGATCCTTTAAAGACAAATCCTTTGTATAAGGATTTGGCTGAGTTCAGGATGTTTTCCCGGAATCCGTGCCATGCGAGCTCTCCTAGGACAAGGTACTCGGCATGAGATCGAACTGAAACCCGTTTCGAAGTACTGTGTCATGAAGCAGTGGCCACTGCCTCGTGAACAGGTAACAGCGATCGGCAAATTCTTTGCCGATCGTTTAGCGGCTGGTCATGTGAGGGAATCAACATCCCCACACAGCTCTCCGACCTTCTGTGTGCGAAGGGCCACAGGAGGGTGGCGGATAGTGCACGCGTTCAACAAACTGAACGCTGCAACGGTAACGGCTCAAACGCCGCTGCCAAGAAAGGATGTCATCATAGATGGTATGGCAAAGAGTGCCATATTTTCATCCATGGATTTGATGGATGGATTCTATCAGATCCTCATGCGTGAACGGGATATCCCTTACACGGCAGTGAGCACCCCTAGTGGTATGCTTTGGGAGTGGCTAGTGATGCCACAGGGGCTGAGTAACGCCCTTGCAACGTTTCTACAGATGTGTCTGTTGCGATCGGTGCGCGATTTCGTACCGAGTTACTTCAAAGATGACTTCGTCCATAGCCGGGCTATGGATGGAAAGACGGATAAAGGGGTTCATAGAATCCACGTCCGGAAGGTTCTTACACTAATGCGAGAGCATAAGTTGTTCTCGAACCTCAAGAAGTGTATATTCGCAGCGAACGAAATACCACTTCTTGGCTCCATCGTGGGTAAAAACGGTGTACGCCCTGATCCAGAAAATACCAAGTCGATTGGAGACTGGCCTGTGCCAGTCGACGCCAAGGGACTTCAAAAGTTCATTGGCTTAGCGGCGTACTTGCACAAATACTCGCGCAACTATGCCGAGATGACCGTACATCTCTCTCGACTGCTGAAGAAAAAAAAGAGAGGTGGTCATGGAGCGCTGAGTGTCAGCAGTCTTTTAAAGGTATCAAGAAAAGATTGATACAATCGCCTGTTTTGGCGATTGCAGACCAGGACAGACCATTCCATGTGTTCTGAGACGCCAGCAATTTTGCAATCGGCTGCGCGTTAATGCAGTAAGACTCAGACGGCGTTGAGCGCATCGTCTGTTATCAATCGCGTCAGCTGCAAGCAGCTGAGCGTATTAACCCGGTGCATGACAAGGAACTCCTTACCATGAAATATGCACTGGCTAAATTTCGGGTACATCTTAGGAGATAGGCCCTTCATCGTTTGTACCGACCACGCGTCGTTACGCACGGCCGTAAGCAGTCCGCACATCTCGCAACAAATGGCGAGGTGGCTGTCTTTCTTCGCGGAGTACAACTTCTCCGTTGAGTGTAAATCAGGACGACTTAATGTCGTCGCTGATGCTATTTCGTGACGGCCCAATTTCGAGCCGACTGCCCAACACAACAGTAGGGGTGATCCCCTTGTTGCTACACTAACAATAAGTGTTCCGTCGTCGAATCTGCTCGACAACGTGCGAAGAGCATACACAGAAGATGAGTCTCTTCTGCGATTGATGGATTACCTATCCAACCCATGCAGTCAAGCTTTGAAAAGCTTGTCGTCTCAGATCCATTTCTAACCGAACGGTATTCTGTTCGTGCTGGATTACTCTACTATACAGCAGTCAACGGCGACACTCCTCGTGTCGTCGTTCCGGCTCATAATAGATTTGCGACTGCGCATCATGTAGGAGTGTCACGATGCCCCAACAAGTGGGCATCGCGGTAGTTGAAGGCTTACCTCATGGTGAGTCGTGACTTCTACTGGCCCCGCCAGTATGGTTTTGTGCGCAAATACATTTGCGCTTGCGAATTTGGTCGACGGGTGAAGCATAGTCCTTCATCCCGCGCACCCTTGCAGCCTCTTCCGATTCCGGCAGAGTGTTGGCAGTCCGTATCGATGGACTTCGTCTTCGGGTCTCCCAAAGACGTTCACAAGAATACCGGTATTATTGTGTTTGTTGATCGATTCAGCAAGATGGTACATCTTGTTACTGTACCGGAGTCAATCACAGCCCAGTGCTGTGCGCGTGTCTTCATCGATACTATCTTCCGACTTCACGGGTGACCCCGTGAACTCGTGTCGGATAAGGACCCCCGCTTCACAGCGGAGTTCTGGCAATCCGTGTTCCGTTCATTCGGAACACGTTTGACGATGTCAACTTCTGAACATCCAGATACAGATGGTCAGACGTAACGCGTCAACCGCGTCCTCGGAGAGATACATCGAGGGTACGCCCACTCGTTTACGAGCTGAAGTGAGTTCTTGCCGATCGCGGAATTCGCCATCAACAACTCGATGCATGCGTCGATAACGCTTACACCGTTCTGCGTGAATGGCCTACACCATCCACGTTTACTAGCCTTCTTAGAGTGTGACTCTAGTTTAAGGGGAATGGACTCGCTCGAACAAAAACCGATCTGGTTCTTGCTCATCACCCGTCAACAATGGTGTCGACGTGATGGATGCCGATGTCGATGGGATCGATATCGATGATGATGATGATGACGATGCTGGTTTATTCAGCATCGCCAATGACTACCAAAGTGACGACGATGACGCCCTCACTGGTGCAGACAACGTTCTTTCAGCGGTGCACACGAAGCGCACTGCTGTTGACAAGGATGAATCAGAAGAAGAATTTCTGCTGACTCGCGAAGTGGTTCTCCGCTTCGTTCAAGATTCTATTGCAGATGCACTAGACAGACAGAAGAGAAACACAGACAAAAATGGAAGAGCAAATGTTCTTTCAGTTCATGAAGGAGACTCAGTTTTACTGTCAGCGGTAAATCTACCGAGACACAGTGACAAACGTGGGCAGCAGTAAATTACTGCCCAAGCATTTCGGTCCATTTCGTGTCTTGCGCCGAATGGGCAACGCATACACGATTGGAATGCCCCGTAAGATGCGTACGCATCCTACGTTTTACGTCGGTCGTCTCCGCCCGTACTATCACTACGAGCCCGTTTCGAGATGCGAAGAACACCTCCGCAGTCGAGAGCCGAGACCACCTTCGAGTGGTCCCGTTTCAACGAGCCAGTCTGGTCGACTAGCGAAGTGACCTGTTCACGCAGTTGAGTGATGTCTCGACGAGCTACAGTCAGCTCGTCACGAATAGAACGAGTCGAACGTTCGTTCTCAAGTTGCGCGAACGCAAAAGCGGCACGATCGTCCGAACTATCGTGCGTTAGGGAATATAGTTATCTCTCACAAAATCCTCAAGCCCGTAACGCCGAGTCCGTTCGTGAGCCAGGTCATCTTGCAACTGTTCCGACACACGGTTCAGCTCTTGTACATCAAGCTGATCCTATCCTCGAGCCGGATCAGGTGTTCCCGCCGCCACCACATCCTGTGGTGGACTCAAGCGGTGGTCAACGCTTCCTAGTGGAGCGTATTTTGAACCACCGCGATGTGAATGGCGTCCGGACGAGTTACCTCGTCCTCTGGCGTGGCTATCCACCGGCGTGCGACAGCTGGAATCCTCGTGCCAAGCTGATTGTTGATGTCCTTGGTATCGTCAAGCAGTACGACGATACACACCCGCTGCGTCCGAAGAAGGGCCGTCGTAAAACGACCTCAACGAACGCGAGTACAGGGATTGTAAGGTGCCAATCCTTTCGGCCATCTTAGAAGAGATGCACGCCCTTCAGTAGGGATCATTAGGGATGTAGGCCTCCCTAGGGGCACGGTTCGAGTTGTCCAGGCAACCTGGACACGAATCACCCCACGATAGCCAGGGCAATCCTGCCTCTATTGACAGCCGGTGCAACGTTTGTCGCACCCCGACTGGGTTGCTTTTCTCGAACCTGATGCGAGCTGCATCAAGTTTACCGAGCCAGACCTAACGGCCAATGCACTTGATGTTGTGGATGAGGGCGTTCCATCCTTGCACCAAAGCCTTACCGTCTCGAACATGGCTGCCGTTGTACCACCGATGTTTCATAAATGCATCGGTGAAGAATTCTCCCTCAGCACGGATAGTTTCCGTGCTGGAATCAGGTGGGCTAATCTTCCTGCAATCGAACAACGGGATTCGATCTCGATCGGTAATCGAGATTAGATCCCCTTGTTCGACTGTCGCGTGGCGCAGGACATTTCGGTCCCTGGCCTCTTGATTGATGCCAGCATGAGCACTGGCACCAGTGTAACCCCGATCCCTCAGGTTACTTCGCTCGTGGTGATGCTTAGAGGCATCACCACCATCACCACGAGTCCTATCGTTATTGACTTGCGTAAAGCAAGGGTTTGTTGCAACAATTGCTCAATCGAAGATTTAGAGCATGACGTCGCCACGTTGAACTTAGCCAGTCAACTTGGCTCTTGCAGTGTCTGCGTCGGAAGATCCGGAGGCGTAACGTGTTGCCTTTGAGTCGGATACATCATCCGAATCGCCAGAATAGATGAGCTCTATTTCAGACTCATCTGTATTACGACTCGAGGTACCCCCTGCAGACGCAGCGGATGTACCTGTCGCACGTGGTGATTCACTACGTGGAAAAATCACTACAGCAGGCGACGAATCACCTGCTGCTGAGGTGAGAGAGGTGCTTTCCCCGGCTGCACGTTTGCTTGCAGCCGCCCTTCTTGCTGCTTCAGTAGCAGCTCGCGTGGATTTCGAAACCATGCGTTGAATTGGCAAATGAGCGGGATTTGACCAACAAGTGCTCCCTTTTCTAGAGTGATCCAACGGTGGTCACCCTGTCCCAATCAATTCTATTCAATCAAAGGTTGATTGATGGTCAGGGGGAATGATATAACGGGGCATCTCATTATATGATATTGACACCAAACAGTGTCAATAGGGATATTGTCTAGCATGACAATATCCTACCAGTTTTATCCGAGGTGGATAATATTGAAGGAATATTATCCCCTTTTCGATAATATCCATGCGCTGCTCCAAGATTGATTGATATAAGACATAACAAACCATAGATTGCCACCAATCGCTTCTAGACGCGCGCAGTGAGTGGTGAGCAGGTTGTCGTCATGCGACAACGTAGTTTAATATAGTTAGATAAAGATTAAAGTTATATTGATAGCTTGACTATATTAAATACAGTTCTCTTTTTACCTTACTTGACCGAGTCGTTCAAGTAGATTAGCTTCCTTTGCACGTTCTAGTGTACGTAAAGTTTCGTGGCACCCAAACAAAGGGTGCCCCTTTTCACACTACCTGCTGCGTTGTTCAATGTGCTAAAATATTACGGTTCGTTTAATTGTAATGGTAAATTGGTAGTAAATAGTGGCGCTTTTAAATGTTAAAGGACCTACACGCCCGAACGATTTGACCAACGTTTTCTCTACGGCACCCTTGCAGCCTTCTGCGTTTTGCAAATGTGTATAAAGGGAATGTTGAGTTAATTCGCGAGCCTAGCATAGGTTTACACTGTCTCGGTGTATATATGCCCATGACCGTTATCAAGGACTCATCTGTTCTAAAAAATCAGACGTAGCAGCATACAGCGTGTGAATGGTATTTGTATCAGATTAGGTCTATCATTGAAGCACAATGTCGGTATATGTGTACCACCATTTTACTACAGTATAAGACGACGTCGGGCTTTTTGCTTAGGGACTGACCAGGTGGAGACCCCCTACTTACTACGCAGACACTCCTCAAATAAAATATATCATCTAAGGTTTTAATGATGGTGCCCATACATTTTTTTCATGAATTTAACTCCTGATAAGCATGGTCGTATCCCGTGCAAGCTGCAGGTATAGCACTTGAGAGTCCTGTGTACTAAATTGTAGTATTTCCTCTCTCAGTGTTGCGGCAGATGTGTTTTAACCAAGGTGGACAAAGTGAAGCTGGCGTTCGCGTTGTCTCAAAATTAAATGCTGCACCGAAGGCTCACAGACGTCATTCCGGTATGATGAGGTGATAGAAACTTTCAGTTGATGCATTCTTTTAACTAATACCAAAATTAATTCGATTAATCATACAGATGTAGATATTCCGTCCGGGTTTTATAGCCAGCTGCTATAGCGTCTCCAGGTTTGGAGCAGAGCGAACGTAATTGGTGATCCACAATACTGCCCTGAAAACTTTTTTCTCCCTGTGCGCATTCTATAATGCATTTTGATTGTTTCTGAAACGGGGCACCCTTTGTCTAGGTGCCACGAAACTTCACTTACACTCGTATGTGCAGAGGAAGCTAATCTACTTGAACGACTCGGTCAAGTAAGGTAAAAAGAGAACTGTATTTAATATAGTCAAGCTATCAATATAACTTTAATCTTTATCTAACTATATTAAACTACGTCGTCGTATGACGACAACCTGCTCACCACTCACTGCGCGCGATAAGAAGCGATTGGTGGCAATCTATGGTTTGTTATGTCTTATATCAATCAATCTTGAAGCAGCGCATGGATATTATCGAAAAGGGGATAATATTCCTTCAATATTATCCGTCTCGGATGATGTTGGTAGAATATTGTCATGCTAGACAATATCCCTATTGACACTGTTTGGTGTCAATATCATATAATGAGATGCCCCGTTATATCATTCCCCCTGACCATCAATCACCCGTTGATTGAATAGAATTGATTGGGACAGGGTGACCACCGTTGGATCACTCTAGAAAAGGGAGCACTTGTTGGTCAAATCCCGCTCATTTGCCAATTCAACGCATGGTTTCGAAATCCACGCGAGCTGCTACTGAAGCAGCAAGAAGGGCGGCTGCAAGCAAACGTGCAGCCGGGGAAAGCACCTCTCTCACCTCAGCAGCAGGTGATTCGTCGCCTGCTGTAGTGATTTTTCCACGTAGTGAGTCACCACGTGCGACAGGTACATCCGCTGCGTCTGCAGGGGGTACCTCGAGTCGTAATACAGATGAGTCTGAAATAGAGCTCATCTATTCTGGCAATTCGGATGATGTATCCGACTCAAAGGCAACACGTTACGCCTCCGGATCTCCCGAAGCGGACACTGCAAGAGCCAAGTTGACTGGCTAAGTTCAACGTGGCGACGTCATGCTCTAAATCTTCGATTGAGCAATTGTTGCAACAAACCCTTGCTTTACGCAAGTCAATAACGATAGGACTCGTGGTGATGGTGGCGATGCCTCTAAGCATCACCACGAGCACAGTAACTCGAAGGATCGGGGTTACACTGGTGCCAGTGCTCGTGCTGGCACCAATTAAGAGGCCAGGTGCCGAAATGTCCTGCGCCACGCTCCTCAAGTGGAGTCTCCTTGGATACCGTCATCCAAGGAGTTGGACCGGTTGGCCGGCATAACTACCGAACGGGATCGAATCCCGTTGTTCGATTGCAGGAAGATTAGCCCACCCGATTCCAGAACGGAAATTATCCTTGCTGAGGGAGAATTCTTCACCGATGCGTTAATCAAAAGTTGGTGGTACAATGGTAGCAGTGTTCGAGACGGCAAGGCTTTGGTGCAAGGATGGAATGCCCTCATCCACAATATCAAGTGCATCGGCCGTTAGGTCTGGCTCGGTAAACTTGATGCAGCTCGCATCAGGTTCGAGAAAAGCAACCCAGTCGGGGCGCGATACAAGTTTCACCGGCTGTCAAGAGAGGCATGATTATTCTGTCTCTCGTGGGATGACTCATGTCCAGGTTGCCTGGACAACTCGAACCGTGCCCCTAGGGAGGCCTACATCCCTAATGATCCCTACTGAAGGGCGTGCATCTCTTCTAAGATGGCCGAAAGGATTGGCACCTTACAATCCCTGTACTCGCGTTCGGTGAGGTCGTTTTACGACGGCCCTTCTTCGGACGCAGCGGGTGTGTATCGTCGTACTGCTTGACGATACCAAGGACATCAACAATCAGCTGGGCACGAGGCTTCTAGCTGTCGCACGCCGGTGGATAGCCACGCCAGAGGACGAGGTAACTCGTCCGGACGCCATTCACATCGCGGTGGTTCAAAATACGCTCCACTAGGAAGCGTTGACCACCGCTTGAGTCCACCACAGGATGTGGTGGCGGCGGGAACACCTGATCCGGCTCGAGGATAGGATCAGCTTGATGTACAAGAGCTGAACCGTGTGTCGGAACAGTTGCAAGATGACCTGGCTCACGAACGGACTCGGCGTTACGGGCTTGAGGATTTTGTGAGAGATAACCATATTCCCTAACGCACGATAGTTCGGACGATCGTGCCGCTTTTGCGTTCGCGCAACTTGAGAACGAACGTTCGACTCGTTCTATTCGTGACGAGCTGACTGTAGCTCGTCGAGACATCACTCAACTGCGTGAACAGGTCACTTCGCTAGTCGACCAGACTGGCTCGTTGAAACGGGACCACTCGAAGGTGGTCTCGGCTCTCGACTGCGGAGGTGTTCTTCGCATCTCGAAACGGGCTCGTAGTGATAGTACGGGCGGAGACGACCGACGTAAAACGTAGGATGCGTACGCATCTTACGGGGCATTCCAATCGTGTATGCGTTGCCCATTCGGCGCAAGACACGAAATGGACCGAAATGCTTGGGCAGTAATTTACTGCTGCCCACGTTTGTCACTGTGTCTCGGTAGATTTACCGCTGACAGTAAAACTGAGTCTCCTTCATGAACTGAAAGAACATTTGCTCTTCCATTTTTGTCTGTGTTTCTCTTCTGTCTGTCTAGTGCATCTGCAATAGAATCTTGAACGAAGCGGAGAACCACTTCGCGAGTCAGCAGAAATTCTTCTTCTGATTCATCCTTGTCAACAGCAGTGCGCTTCGTGTGCACCGCTGAAAGAACGTTGTCTGCACCAGTGAGGGCGTCATCGTCGTCACTTTGGTAGTCATTGGCGATGCTGAATAAACCAGCATCGTCATCATCATCATCATCGATATCGATCCCATCGACATCGGCATCCATCACGTCGACACCATTGTTGACGGGTGATGAGCAAGAACCAGATCGGTTTTTGTTCGAGCGAGTCCATTCCCCTTAAACTAGAGTCACACTCTAAGAAGGCTAGTAAACGTGGATGGTGTAGGCCATTCACGCAGAACGGTGTAAGCGTTATCGACGCATGCATCGAGTTGTTGATGGCGAATTCCGCGATCGGCAAGAACTCACTTCAGCTCGTAAACGAGTGGGCGTACCCTCGATGTATCTCTCCGAGGACGCGGTTGACGCGTTACGTCTGACCATCTGTATCTGGATGTTCAGAAGTTGACATCGTCAAACGTGTTCCGAATGAACGGAACACGGATTGCCAGAACTCCGCTGTGAAGCGGGGGTCCTTATCCGACACGAGTTCACGGGGTCACCCGTGAAGTCGGAAGATAGTATCGATGAAGACACGCGCACAGCACTGGGCTGTGATTGACTCCGGTACAGTAACAAGATGTACCATCTTGCTGAATCGATCAACAAACACAATAATACCGGTATTCTTGTGAACGTCTTTGGGAGACCCGAAGACGAAGTCCATCGATACGGACTGCCAACACTCTGCCGGAATCGGAAGAGGCTGCAAGGGTGCGCGGGATGAAGGACTATGCTTCACCCGTCGACCAAATTCGCAAGCGCAAATGTATTTGCGCACAAAACCATACTGGCGGGGCCAGTAGAAGTCACGACTCACCATGAGGTAAGCCTTCAACTACCGCGATGCCCACTTGTTGGGGCATCGTGACACTCCTACATGATGCGCAGTCGCAAATCTATTATGAGCCGGAACGACGACACGAGGTGTGTCGCCGTTGACTGCTGTATAGTAGAGTAATCCAGCACGAGCAGATTACCGTTCGGTTGAAAAGCGGCACTGAGACGACAAGCTTTTCATAGCTTGTGCGGTGGAGTGGGGTTCCCGACTCTCCACTGGCGCCCAGACGACCGACAAACGGAGGGGATACTCCGATTCCGCTTCACTTGTTCCCTCCTCACCTTGTGTACCTGTCGGCAGGTCGGGTTGCACTCTTCTAGGTGGACTCGACGAGATGATAAACTTGACCTTTGTAGAGATTGGTGCTAATCGGGTGGAAATTCCTCACCCGATCGCATGTTCTGGGTTGGCGCTCTCCTGGAGTCGCCGTGATCTGCCGTGATCGCCTTGTGCCAAAATGTGTACTTGAGCCGCGAGCCTTTCTGGCCACTTGAGCCGTCTCGCGATCTTGTACTTCAACCGATTCGGTTGGCTGCGTCCGATCGCAGTAGGGGTGTGTTGAGAGTCCTAGCACTCCTGGCCAAATATCTCCAGGAGTGATCGTTCTCTCCTTGATGTCAAGATTCTCAGACGTCGGGAGGCCAAAATATCCAACCCGGGAGAAGACCGACACGAATGTGTTTAGAAGCAAATTGAATTCTTTATTACTCGGTTACCAAACAAATAATTCGAATGGAATTACACAATTCCTGGCCAAACTATACAGGAATTGATACGTCTCGATGACACGCGTTGTCCTAGACATCGGGAGGCCAATATACGTTCCTGCCCGGAATTCCCTTGTATCTTGCGTAGACGGATCCGTGTCGAATCTCTTGATCACATGGTTACTAAGCGCATAAAATCACGTTGAGAGACGATCCCGGCCAATCGATCCAAAAGCAGATACTTCTAGCACGCGTGACAACATCTGTCTTCGGGAGGCCAACATACGTTCCTGCCCGGAATGAAGTCGACGTGTGCCCTTTGAGGTAAATTGAACTCTTTTTAATGTTAACCAATCAGACCCTCACACCTTACCCCTATAACTCGGAAAATCAGATGCCACGCGTCGTTTCTACATATTGCCCCTTGTATCTATGTGGCACAGACCTGATACACCAACCGTCTGATCGCTTCAGGGCATGGTCCACGCCAGATAGCGGTACGTTGATCGCGGCCCCTGATCGCGGTCCCCTGATCGCGGTCCCTTGATCGCGGTCCCTTTTGCCGTTCTGAACCGTTCTGACCGGATGAGATAATTCCGTAAATAATCCCAACAGTGCCATCAGTATGATTGGTCCTCGTCCCACGATCATTCCGCCGGTCCCCACTCCGTACTTAGGCATACGTTTGAGGTTTTACGACACCGATATTGATCAAATTTACCACACTTGACTGCATGGGTTGGATAGGTAATCCATCAATCGCAGAAGAGGCTCATCTTCTGTGCATGCTCTTCGCACGTTGTCGAGCAGATTCGACGACGGAACACTTATTGATAGTGTAGCAACAAGGGGATCACCCCTACTATTGTGCTGAGCAGTCGGCTCGAAATTGGGCCGTCACGAAATAGCATCAGCGACGACATTAAGTCGTCCTGATTTACACTCAACGGAGAAGTTGTACTCCGCGAAGAAAGACAGCCACCTCGCCATTTGTTGCAAGATGTGCGGACTGCTTACGGCCGTGCGTAACGACGCGTGGTCGGTACAAACGATGAAGGGCCTATTTCCTAAGATGTACCCGAAATTTAGCCAGTGCATATTTCATGGCAAGGAGTTCCTTGTCATGCACCGGGTTAATACGCTCAGCTGCTTGCAGCTGACGCGATTGATAACAGACGATGCGCTCAACGCCGTCTGAGTCGTACTGCATTAACGCGCAGCCGATTGCAAAATTGCTGGCGTCTCAGAACACATGGAATGGTCTGTCCTGGTCTGCAATCGCCAAAACAGGAGATTGTACCAATCTTTTCTTGATACCTTCAAAAGACTGCTGACACTCAGCGCTCCATGACTACCTCTCATTTTTTTTCTTCAGCAGTCGAGAGAGATGTACGATCATCTCGGCATAGTTGCGCGAGTATTTGTGCAAGTACGCCGCTAAGCCAATGAACTTTTGAAGTCCCTTGGCGTCGACTGGCACAGGCCAGTCGCTAATCGCCTTGGTATTTTCTGGATCAGGGCGTACACCGTTTTTACCCACGATGGAGCCAAGAAGTGGTATTTCGTTCGCTGCGAATATACACTTCTTGAGGTTCGCGAACAACTTATGCTCTCGCATTAGTGTAAGAACCTTCCGGACGTGGATTCTATGAACCCCTTTATCCGTCTTTCCATCCATAGCCCGGCTATGGACGAAGTCATCTTTGAAGTAACTCGGTACGAAATCGCGCACCGATCGCAACAGACACATCTGTAGAAACGTTGCAAGGGCGTTACTCAGCCCCTGTGGCATCACTAGCCACTCCCAAAGCATACCACTAGGGGTGCTCACTGCTGTGTAAGGGATATCCCGTTCACGCATGAGGATCTGATAGAATCCATCCATCAAATCCATGGATGAAAATATGGCACTCTTTGCCATACCATCTATGATGACATCCTTTCTTGGCAGCGGCGTTTGAGCCGTTACCGTTGCAGCGTTCAGTTAGTTGAACGCGTGCACTATCCGCTACCCTCCTGTGGCCCTTCGCACACAGAAGGTCGGAGAGCTGTGTGGGGATGTTGATTCCCTCACATGACCAGCCGCTAAACGATCGGCAAAGAATTTGCCGATCGCTGTTACCTGTTCACGAGGCAGTGGCCACTGCTTCATGACACAGTACTTCGAAACGGGTTTCAGTTCGATCTCATGCCGAGTACCTTGTCCTAGGAGAGCTCGCATGGCACGGATTCCGGGAAAACATCCCTGAACTCAGCCAAATCCTTATACAAAGGATTTGTCTTTAAAGGATCCCAAAACTGAGACGTGTATCGCTCAATCCGGGTCTTCTCATCGAGGACACTCTCGTCCATCGGTGAGCTACTGAGAACCCGTTCGTTCCCAGCAAAACACTTGTGCCGACCGAATATCGGCGACGTACTCGTCCTCTGTGACGAGTGCGCAGATCTGCTTGATCTTGTCACTACGCAGATCTCGCAAGAACCTTTTAGGTTCGTGCGTTGACAACTTGACTACCTCCGAAGCTGACTTCAGGTTCGTCACCAGATCAAGTGTATAAGCGCCTACACTTGATCCGTCATTCACCAAGACATTAACTGACTCGGTGATTTCCGGGGAAAACACATCCGCAGGTGGTTGGGGATCCACACCCTCAACATCACTCTCTCGGGAGTTATCACTCTCAGGAACGCTGGAACTTTCTTCCATTACGCGTACTAACTGTGGGTGTGCTACCACAGTCACGTCCTCTTCGATCGACTCTCTTTCAGTCGATCGGGCTTGCTCTACGATCGACTCTCTGGTAGTCGATCTCGCTTCAACGTGAAGTTCATCCTGAACGACACTAGTCTCTCCTCTCGGATGCACCCTTCTTGTAGTGCATCCGTGTTCCAGTCCACTCGATCTCTTCGAGTGGTGAACCTTCGGCGCAGCCTGTGTCTCTACACAGGTGCCGGAAGATGGTTTCACAGTGTATTGGCCTGCTACACTGTGATCTTGTGCAATCGTACTAACGACCGTACCACAAGTGAGGCCGTCGCACTCACTCGTAGTACATCCACACGCTTGCAGACGCTCCAAGACGTTCATCAGATGGCCATCCGATGAACAAACGGCAGGCATCTTCACGGCGATGCAGCCAGCTAACTCATGGCTGGTACTTTCTAAGCCATGGCAGACCAAGGATGACATCAAATTTGTCATCCAAATCAAGTACGATGAATTCATCATCGTACTGCTTTCCTTCTAGCGTGTAGTGGATTCGCACTACACGTTTGTTCACTGTTACGGATGCGCCTGTAGCAAGGCACACTGTCATCCTCGTTGGAGGGAACTCTCGCTCAACATAGTTAAACCTACTATCATCTAGCGACTAGCGTCGAATAAAACTGTTCGACGCACCACAGTCAACTAGGGCGCGAAGTGACATTCCACTTGTCACTTCGATCTTCAAAGTGATGAGGTACACCTCATCACTAGGGGCAGTAACACACACAGACTGTTTGTTGGGAGCAACCTTGGTCAAGAGTCCTGCAAATTCTCTTGACGTTGCTGGATCAGCAGGGTGCTCCGCCCCTACTGACCCTGACCGTTTTTTGACGGTCCGACTTGCTGTCGCGGCTTAGCGACATGATCGGTCCACGCCTTGCACCTTTCCTTGGCCAACGGCGATCATTACGTTTTGTCTTTGGACGTGTTGCGGTGCTTGGGACACTACACTCACGAGCGTAGTGTCCAATCTTCTGACAGAGATGGTATCTTGCCGTTCGCTTGTGACTCAGAGAGCGAGAGTTCTCGTTTTCGATGTAACAGAGGTCCATTGGTTCGGGACCTCCTGTTTCCTGTCGTCTCGTCGATCGATAGTTTGACGAGTTAGTCTTAGACTGTCTCAGGCTGAAGTCTTCTTGTTCCGCATTCGCTATCGCCCTTTCCAGCGCATGGAAGTCCTCTCGGAACACGTAGGTCTTCACCGGCCCATCTACAAGGCCGTAGATGAACACGATGATGATCGTTTGCTCATCAACAGGGTTTTCCGTAACGCTACTCGCAAGATAGCGTAGGTGCTGTGTATAAGCGTGCACGTCACGCTTACCTCGCTTTAGCCTCAAGAGTGCAGAGCGTGCTCTGAACTCGGCTCTCGGCGGCTCAAACGTCTCTTTAAGTCGAGACTTCACGATATCCGACGGCTCAAACACATTTGGGTCATGAAGCTTGAGCCCTAAGTTCCAAGTCTTTGCTCGTCCCGTCAAATTTGACAGGGCGGAGGTGACTTGCATCTCGTCACCCAAGATGTGACGGTCCCAGATGGCATCGTCTAACTTGACGAACCATCTCAAAAGGGAATCTTCATCGGTTCCATTGTACCTTGAGACATCAATCTTTAAGGCTTCGGATCGACGCATGTGCGTCAGCCCGCCCATCGACTGATGAGAGCCTTGCTGCTGTAGCAAGGCTATCTTCTGTCGTTCGACGGCAAGTTACCCTTGTAGGAACTTGTTGATAGCAGCATGTTGCTGGTCTCTGCTTAGAGACTCCAACATACCACTGATGGCGGGTTTGCCCATGAGCGCACTCATGCGGCCGACTACCTCCCATTCTGAGTCACTCAGATGGGAGTAGCCTTCACGTGTGAAGTGAAAGCTGTCGTCTTCTACGTCCAACACGTTCATGTTGGACGGACACAAAGTAGTCGTTGGACGGACTACAAAGTGTTACCAGGTGTAACGGGGCACCCTTTGTCTAGGTGCCACGAAACTTCACCTACACTAGTACGTGCAGAGGAAGCTAATCTACTCAACAAATGTTGAGTAAGGGTAAAAGGAGAACTGTATATAACATAGTTAAGCTGTCAATATAACTTTATTCTTAATAAAACTAAATCAAACCACATCGTCGTATGACGACAAGCTGCTCACCACTGATTGAGCGCGTCTAGCAGCAATTAGTGGTAATCTTTGGTTGGTATGTCTTATGTGAACCAATTTTGAAGCAGCGCAGGCTTCAAGATTTGTATATCTATAAGGGGATAATATTTCTTGAATGTGATACATCTCGGATAATATTAGTAGAATATTGTCATGCTGAACAGTATTCTTATTGACACCATGTGGTGTCAATTTCATGTATCGGGCTACCCCGTTACAGCTTCGATCTGCGCATTCTATAATGCAATCTTACTGTTTCAATCTAATGCTGCGTTCCATATCATTGGATACGACTAAGTGCGATAAAGGCACTCCCTGTAGCTTCTGAAGACTTACTGACAGTGTTAGTAAAGGTGGGTCAGACATTTCTACAGTACATAGTTTTTTAGTGGGTCAAACAAAAGGTAAAATAGCCAGTATCAAATCCTCGGCAAGAGTGCTAAGCGCAGATTTTTCCTCATTCATATTATAGTATCAGCCACCTCATGCTATTAGATACCAATTTTTATAGCTCACGCAATTTCAGCCGCGTGTGTCTTTAACTTACAACTGAAATGCGAGACTAGTAAGGAAGCTAGTCCGAATAAAGGTGAGATCACAATAATTTTTATACTTAGAGCGTTAGGTGTGGTGAGGTGGTGAGTAAAGAGGGTCAGACATGTTGTGTTGCAACGTGTGTAACGGGGTCACCCGTTACATAATAATTTATAAGAAATTGTTAATAGAATACGACTATAAAAGTTATGGTCTTAGAATATTGTCATAAGGACAATTATTCTGCAGCACTTACGAGTAGTTCCTAATTGGTTGATATAGGCCATTACATCAACCAACGAAGACGCGCCACGACAGACGCACGCAATGAGTGGTGAGCAGATAGTTGATGTGCACATTTGTATTCAGACATAGTTAGATGAGGATAAATAGTGATTTATTACAGACAATAACTATGCTAAATACAGTTCTACTTTTTACTTTAATAAAGTACTCGCTTCTCCTTACCGTCTTCCTCTGCACGTACGAGTGTACGTGAAGCTCCGAGGCACCGCCTTATTCTGTCATCAGAATAAGTAGCTTGTACTGTTACCAGTACAAGCTTCAGGGTGCCCTGTTACACCTGGTAGCACTTCGTAGTCCGCCCAAGGACACGTTCACGTCCAACACGAATATGTTGGATGATGAAGATGACCAAAGCTTTCACGCTACGCGTAACGGCTACTGCCATCTGAGCGATGTCGAATGGGATGCGGTTGAACGAATGGGTTCAACCATGGGCATCCATGCTGTTAGCGTCATGCTAGAGGCTCTCAATAGAGATGCCCAACATGCTACTATCGCCAAGTTCATTCAAAATGAACTTGACGCAGAACGCGAGAAAGTAGCCTTGCTTCACCAACAAGGTTCTCAACAAGCAGAGTTGTTGAGAGAACAGGGTGATCAAAAGTTTGGACTGTTGAGACAGCAGCAGGCTGCTGCTGGTGGGTCGATGCACTCGCGTCGACCCGAGACTTTGAAGATTGACATCTCCAAGTATAGGGAAGTCGAAGAGGACTCCCTCTTGAGATGTTCGTCGAATTAGACGACGCCATAAGAGCGCGTCGCATCGACGACGGGGATATGCAAGTTGCATTTGCCCAGTCAAATCTGGCAGGACGTGCCAAGACTTGGGCACTGGGGCTCAAGTTGCACGACCCATATGCATTTGGGTCGTCAGAAGTCTTCAAGTCGCGGCTCAGACAAACGTTTGAACCGCCTAGAGCTGAGTTCAGAGCTCGAACCGAACTCTTGAAGCTCAAACAGAGTAAGCGAGATGTGCACGCTTACGCGCAACATATACGACATCTCACGAGTTGTATAAGTTCCAACCCGGTGGATGAACACACGTTGGTTTCGGTGTTCATGCAGGGTCTTGCGGATGGTCTCGTCAAGACTCACCTG